TCAAAGGGAACAGCCCTATTCAACTTTATTTTAACTGCCCTTTACATCAATGTTAGCCGATTTTATCATCAAACTTTTTTCTGTAAGTGTATTTTATTCGATTCTGATTGTGATGCGTACTTAGCGAAGCATTCTGATACTTAATGGATTTTTGGATGTAATCTTTTGTAGAATGAACCACAAGTTATGGCAGTGTATTCTGTATTTAACTATATTATAACTTTATGATACGATTGAGATTTTGGTTATATCTGGCTAATAAGTTCTGTGTCATTCAACCGGTTCAGACAATAATGTTATGCCTTATTCAGGGTGTGTGATGACTATTCTATTCATCGATACCCATACCCGCACTACGTACACTCATACCACCAGCGACAGCCGCATCCATCCATAGCCATATCCACACCTGCAGCCACAAATCTACATCCAACCACACCCTTCAGATTTTGTCAAACAAATTCTGTCTGAAAACATAGTCTCCTGTCTCTCTATCGATGATTCTACGCATGAAGAGTTGATAGGTGGTATGAGTGTCTGCTGCTATTCTTATCTGGGTGTGGGTGTGGGTCTGGTTCTCGAAGTTGATCTTCGCACCACAACCATAGCCACACCCACACCCACCCACACCTACACCCCACCCACACCCACACCCACACCCACACCCACACCCACACCCACACCCACACTCATACCCACACCCACACCCACACTCATACCCACACCCACACCCACACCCACACCCACAACCACATCCACACCCACACCTACAGCCCGTACAGATAAAGTCGTACACATTTAGCCGTAGAAGATTAGGCGGTACAGATTTGGATGTATAGATGAAATCGTGCGGATTTAGACGTATGAAAAGGACGTAGAGAAATAACTTATGTAACTGAAATATGTTTTTTTTAGATTTAGCTATACTTTTACTTTCTCTGAGAAAGGGCGTGTTATTTTTTATCATCGTTGTCCAGAGAAATCATAAAGCGGATTATATGCCATACCCGCATCCGTCCTAATCGAGTTGTTTATTCTAATTTGTGTAAAATTCATTGAAACCCATTAAGACATCGTGCATTTCAAACAGGATCTACAATTCAATGGACACGACAATGAATAATAGTACGAAAAGCGGATTTAACACTGACTTTGATGCAAAACAACTAATTCTCGCAGAAAAATACTTGAAAAACTTTGTTTTCGTATGGTTCGTTCAGCAAATGCCGACGAAAACCTTGCTTCAGAAGATTCGAAAACATGAAAAATTCAAATTATTTGCTGGTCTACAAAATATAGCTCAAAGTATTCGTAGAGTTTATTCTTTGGAGGAGTGTGTTAAACTGCTTCGTAAACTTTCCAATCAAAGTGTCTTTTTGGTTATATCGAGTGATGCACCATTAAATGAAGAATCACACTCAAAATTATGTTGTTTTCTAAATGTGGAATATATTTATTACTTTGGGTCTGATCAACCTTGGAAAAAAACAATAGGAGATGTTTCGGATGGTTTGATTTGTTTCTCACAAGAAGAATCAGGTTTGAATATCTTACCATCAAATGTGGAATCGACAAAGATAAAGAATCTTGATGCTGAAACACAAAGATTTGCCATTCGACAGTTACTTATTGAATTATTGCACCGTTATCCTTGTACATCTGAAGCGATTCAAGACTTCTTGGCTTTCTGTAGAAGTACTTGTAAAGACGATCCTGTACGATTAAATCAAATCCGTAAGTTTGAAAACGACTATCGTTCTGAAAAGGCCATTTGGTGGTATACCAAAGACACGTTTATTTTTCGTGTCCTCAATCAAACATTACGATGTTGCAATCTAAGCGAAATGTTCAAAATTCGTTCTTATATTACTGATCTTTACTTAGAACTGAAAAGGCTTTATTTCGTACAATTACCAATGCCACTATGCTCAATATTACGATTATATCGAGGCAAAGTCATTCCTAAAGAAGAATTCGATCATCTGAAGAAAAGTTCTGGAAAACTTGCTATTGTTAACTCATTCTTGTCTACTTCCCTTGATAAAACAGTAGCTATTTCTTATGCTGGCCAAGGTGTTTCAGAATCAACCGGCAATGTTTCAGTCGTCTTTTGCATGCACAATAATATCAAGGCAAACGATTCTAAGCCAATCGCACTTATCGATAGATTATCTCAAAAATTAGAAGAAGAAGTTTTAATATCTACCGGATTTATTTTCCGAATCGGATCTATTGAAAAGCTTGGAGTAAGCCTAAGTAATGTTGATATATTTGAGTGACATTTATTTTCTTTTAGGAAAATTTATGGGTAATTCATCTACTTAGAAGCACCAAAGAAACAGAAATCGAGGCAGAGTTTCACACACATTTGTGGTTGCAAGGTGGTTTGTTAAATGGTTTTAGAAACAACAGGACAATTTTCCATATTATAAACAATGGACAATATATTGAAGAATTAGAAGCTCTGACACGTTCTTCTCTCAAGATAGCAAAGTCAGGCCCAGATGAAAAGCACCGTAATAAGAAGCCTAGAAACAAAGTTGTTCCTAGCGATTCATCAGTATTCGACGATCCAAATATATTACATATTCATCAACCGGTAATTTTTTTTTCAGAAGCATTAGACTCTAAAAGCTGATTTTTTTTCATATAAGGAGATTATCATGACAAAGATATCTGCTTGATTCTGACGTCGAAACTATGAATAGTTCTATTCGAAAAATGTCTTTCCAAATATCTATATTTTGCGATGATAGGTAAGAGTGCAAACTGTCAATAATAATCACTAAGATTCTTACAACTTCTATCGGAAGTAAACAAATAAGCACGACAGCTGAAATAGGCATGTTCAGTTTTTCTCTTTCGAATTTTTTATATATTTTTACTTTCATAGAATATTGAAATTACCAGATAATGTATTTAAGATTGCAGAATATGTCTATTTTAGTATTTTTCCTTACTCTTTGTAGTTTACAGTGGCAAGATCAAAAATTGATAGATAGCGATGAATGCCTGAATAATGATACTATTAGCGAAATTGAAAAAATGCTTCAAAGCATTTGAAAAACCAAGGAAGAGCAGCAGCATATGTGACTGACGATGAAAGCTCCCTCCAACATTCGGATGGTGACTGAACTGTTTTCTTTTGTCATGACGGAAACGACGTGCTTCCGTATTCCTTGAGCTACGAGAGTGCAGGAACACAAACGGAAAGAAGGAGGTACGTTCGCACTTCGGCGACTTCCAATGTACTCACGGAATGTAGTAAATACAAAGAGAACAGTGGGAATATATCGAGGTCAGGGATTATAAAGGAATTATATGGAATACACAGAGTACACCGCTTTCCTTCTGCATTAAGTGCATTTTATATTAGATTCGGCGTACTAACACTATATTCCTTGGAATCCAGAAATATGGAAGTACCCAGTTTTCCTTTTGTATTTTTCTCGTACGTATACATTGATTTGACGAGACAAAGCATGGAAGAGTAACTGTTCTTGGATCTCATTTCATGAATTATGGTTGTTGTAATAGATTTACTCAATTGGAGCTACATACTAACGGTTAACAACTAATGATCGAATGGCGAGCTTACATTTCACCTAAATGTCGATGGAGTAGCTTTCATAAAGTCGAAAAAGTTTTGATTAGCACATGCGATTCCTTCTCTAGACTTTCAAATCGTAGGAATAATTAATTTCCTTGATCTTCTTAGGAAATGAGAATACTATTTCGAAATTCAATAGCTCGAGAGGGAAACATTCATTTTTACTGTAGTTTTTATGATTTTTTAATGACCATTGCATCTATATACGTTCGCAATTTAAATGCTATATTCGAGCACTAGATGTTTCTGGTGATATTTGGCACAAATGGCGAAAACCAAATAAAACTATCATAAGTTATGAAAAGAGGTCTAATGGCACTTGTCCTTTTAGATTTATTCTAGTCTTATTATATAGATCTACTTACGAGCGAAGAATCATGTCACACACCACTTAATTGGTGAGAACTTTTGCTCAGTAGTAGAATATTCGTATATTTGTATAGTCACAGTAACAGATATAGTCTTTACAGATGATAAATTAACATTCAGCAATTCTCTTATTACAATGTAATATGAGGGTGTACCATAGGTAGTTCTGCATTCGTTCCAATTTCCATAAGACATTGCATGCTAATCGACCGCGGACGTACTTTTACGACTTTGATTCGTATAGATATCAAAGATAGCTTGGAATGTAACTGTCAGCAATTGCAGAAACCTAACTTAGTTAGCACCTCCTTGTTCGAGATACTGTTTCGTCGTGAAAATCTTTATCCGGTATTCATACAGTGCCAGATGAATTCCCAAGCTAGTTTGTCCTTCATCAGAATTGACAAGACTTACTCGTCTTTCCAAGATAATACATTTGATGTTATTGCAAATTTCTACAACACTCAGAAGATAATTATATGCTAAGTGAAATAGTATAATACTTTTTCCTTTACAGTCATAGTACAGAATAGTCACAATTTATAAGAATATGTCCACGTACCATGATACCCTAGACATTCTCTTCAAACGTTTCTGTTCCTCACTAAATGTCAATCTATTCATTTACTAGTCGACGACTCCAGTGCAGAGCACAAAATGGTGTTCACACAACTGTACTATTAAGCTGAGCATTCTGATTGGAATCATCCTACTAATTATCACTGTACTCCTGGGAATCATTCTACCCAACATCCTTTCTACAAAAAATTTGCCAACAACTGAAAAAGCGACATCAACCATCTCTTTGGAACAAGTAAAAACAATTAGTACAACCACAACTACCAGAGCTACAACCGTAACTAACGGAACTACAACTACAACGTCAAACCAATCGGTAAACATCATCGTCAAAACAGCCAAAGAAATAATCTCAAGAACGAAATCATCAACAAGAAAAACAACAATGATATCAAGAATATGGCTCACATCACTGACAACAACACCTATCAAATCAAGAACCATGAAAGTAAACTCAAAGATAACAAGAACAAGCACATTAAAGACATCCACAATTGCAGCAAAAATAACAACTGCAACATCAAGAACACGACCGACATCAACAACTGCAGAACCTAAAAAATCAACCATCGTGACATCACCACTGAAAGCAATAATCACATGGTTAACATCTACAACCACAGCAACAACAACACAGACAACAACAACGACGGTAAAAAAACCAACAATCACAATAAAGGCGACAAAAAGGTCAACGACCACAACAAAGGCAACAATAATGTCAACAGCCACAACAGTCGCTACAAAGGCTACAACAACATTATCAACAATACGGTTGACCCCAACAATCACAACAAAGGCGACAAAAAGGTCAACGACCACAACAAAGGCAACAATAATGTCAACAGCCACAACAGTCGCTACAAAGGCTACAACAACATTATCAACAATACGGTTGACCCCAACAATCACAATACCTATAGCATCAAAAATTACGCAAGCAGCGAACAAGTCACCAACAGTAAGAAAGGTGATAAAAAGAACAATAATCACAAGTACATGGTTAACATCCACAATCACCCCAATAACAATGTCAAGAGCACCAACAAGTACAACAGCCGCTACAAAGGCAGCAACATTATTAACAGCAACACGACCGACATCATCAACCACAATACCTATAACTTCAAAAATTGCGACAGCAGCAACTAAGGCAGCACGCGTATGGGTGTGGGTGTGGGCTTTGATATGGGGTGTGGGTGTGGGTTTTGGTATTTGGAGTGGGTGCTGGTGTGAGCGTGGCTCTAGTGCTTAAGGGAGAGCCACACCCACACCCATATCCAAACCTCCACACCCACACCCACACACCCACACTCACACCCACACACCCACACCCGCACACCCACGCCCACATTCACCCACATCCACACCCACACCTACACCTACACCCTTTTTCACTATATTTTTGAATATGCTTGTGCATTTTTATGATGAATCAATTCTACCACTTCTGCATCGAATGTTAAATTTAGAAAAACTTGATTTAAATCTTAAACTCCATCATTATAAAGGATTTATCGACGGAAATGATTTTAAAAAAGATATTATCAATTATATGACACGATTAAATAAAATTACATTTAATATTCGCGTAATCAATAATTTTCCTAATCAAATGAATTTTCCTTCAAATGAAGATATTCAACGTACATTCAATGATTTTTAAGATAATCAAATTATTTCTTGTGTTAATCTCTTCCAAGAAAGTCACCATAATTATTGTCATATTTATACATGTCCATATAGAATGAAATATTATGATAATATTACGAAAATTTTCCAGGTGGATTATTTAACTATGTTTATAAAGTATCGCTATTTGATGAACGCCCATGCATTTGAATATGATTTTTTTCGTCAAATTGCTCGATCATTTCCATGTATGATAGAATTAACTGTAACTAATTTATAAACCACAGAAGAATAAATTATATAAAAGAATCAAAGAACGACAATCAAGATTTATCAATTATTAAATATCTTCATATGACTAAACTAAATCTTTATGAAGCCCATTATGATTACGTCGAACAATTCCTGATTGGTACAGAAGTTTATTTTCCCGATAAAGTTCATCTTACTCTCTATTATGAAGACCTAAAAAGGGTTACAGAAAATTTCTCAAGAGATGCAACATGAATCAGTTGCAAAAATCTATTCGTTATGGCTACGTGGTGAATATGGAGTTACTGAAGAACTGAAGGACTATTTTTCTCAGACAAAAAGATTTTTTTGATTATCGTAAATGATTTTTAAAATAAAACATGAAGTAAATCAGATTGATTTAGAAAGTTTCAACGCACGACAATGAAGAGAAAAGAATGAAGGAGCAGTAATGTAAAAATGAAAAACTCGATTCAAGTCGAAAATTTTTTGCAGTTTCGAATTCTTGAACCAGATTGTTGATTATTGGAGTTTCTAACTTTTCAATTATTAGACTTTTACGGGCCAGAACTGTGTCACTGTATGTGTTCCCTCGGGATAGCTCAATGCTGATACCTATGAGAATTGTGCTCTTTAAAATTTATCCTCTTCGGTGCTGCCTTCACCCTTCACGCTTAGTCTTGATTTGTCTCGCCGTTACTCCACACACTATTCATTCTCTACAGTATCGACTGCTTTCGCTCACTGTGCTTCTCCGCACTCTCCAGTCGGAAACTAGAAAGAAATCTTAAAGCACTACATGTATGATAATATTTGGTGGAATTGATGATTATGTGATTTCTCACTGTTAGTTCTGTTTGTGTATTTGAGGTGATAGTAATGCTTGGTCTTGCTCATGTATCAAAAGACTTATAGAGTGTAATATTGCTATTAGATAATGGTCCTAACAAGGTCAATCTAACTGCTTCAAATAAAAAACAAGCAGGACGTGCTAATTCTGAGGTCAAACAGACATTAGTTGATGATGAAGCTGGTGTTGATCAAGAAGATGAAGATCAATGGGTTACACAACAAAAATCATCACCACTAACATCATCATCATTATCAAATTGTAAAATTGCATAAAAAACACGAACAGCACCAACAGCATCCATTAATAACAATTCTTCATCAATTTTTCTCGGATGTAATTCTTGTCATTGTTGTTTCTTAAAAAACACATATTCGCTTTAAAAATAGAGGATTTTGTAGTCTAAATTGATGATGTGATGGATGAGAGAACAAACAAAGAACCAAACATGTGAATGATATATCATGTTAGCATAGAAAAAAAATAAACTGGAAAACTGTTTGTATTGATATCGCGTTGATATAATTAATTTGCATAAGATCACGAAAATCTCAATAAATTCATTTGGGAAGTTGACTCTGAAATATACGGATCGATTTCACAAAAGATTTCTTCTTGTAGTAAAGAGTAATTAATATATATGAAAAGTATATGTATTTCTATGTTGTTTTGCTATTGACTTGAAATTTCAAACTCTTGGAGTTTATTGTTAAAAATCTACACAACTGATAATCTAGTTTATGATTAGAAAAGAAAACAAATGTTCATTTAAAGAATGTTTTAATCAAGATCTTTGCTAGTCGTATATGGGATAATTCGACAGGTGTTGCATTTTTCGAATCAGTATGAAACGCTATCGATACATTGATTGACATTCTATTGTCTTTACCATATATTACGTGAGTGACAAAACATTTTAATCCGTCAGAGAATGGCTTACATTTTCTTTCAACTGACATCTCGTTTGACCAAACTAAATACGTAGAGAATAATAAGATTCCCAATATACGAAATTTATTTTTGTCGATCAGTTCTTCAATAAATTCTGACCAAGACATTGATCGATCAGAAGAAGCTAGAAGTGTGAGACTCCATAAATGTCCATGATGATCGAGAATCATTTTTATGCTATCCATTTCTTTCATGGTCACTTTTAAATGTTTTATATGATGTGGAATAATCGCACAAATATTTTCCATGATTATGATTCCATCATTGGAGGAATAAGGATGGATTGCCAATGTATTACGGCTATATGCAAGTCTCATCAGCATATTGATGCTTTCTATGATGTTATGAATGTATTTATGGTTAAAATCAGGATTAAAAGTGATTTTATCGAGACATGAAAGATATTGAACACATTCTGGCAACCATTTCTGATCCACATCTATTGTTAATTTGGTTACATTACGAAACAAAATATAGTTTGATATTATTTTCTACAATTAGAAAATGGGTCTTATATAAAGAGAAAAAATTTATTATTTGTTTCGAAATAATTTTTTGAAGAAAATCAATCTCTCCTGATATGAACAAATTTTCGGCATTATTACAGGCGTCTTTTTATATGTATATATTTGTTAGACATTGATTTATTTACATGATTATGATCTATTGAAGATCATTGTAGCAATTTAAACATACCTTCGCTGTAGTGACACTAGCCACTAATTTTGTTAAAGTCAAGTTTATCGTACGTACGTTGTCCATGATGACAGCATCGACATCCATTGTAATCAAAGTAGAATATGAAATTTTATTTGCTTCACATTCGTATGTAAAGTCCATAGCACACAGTGGTGTTGTGTAGAGCATAACTTAAATTGAGATAATCTATGTAGTCACAGGTCACAAACCAATGTTTTCTTCTAGCCAAAATGGCGTTTGAAATTGAGATATGAGTGATTCGACATCTCTAGATCTGTAATATACGTTTTAAACATTCGTAAAGAAAAGCCCGAATTCATGTAAGCAAGGCAAAGTTGCGCGAATGAATTGTTCCCAGCGAAATCCATCAGCAATAGTATCGAACGGATCTGGCGAACATATAATTTTCAAATAAATTAATGAGAGTGTTAGAGATAGGATTGATTTAAGTTGAAACATCGATATTCGACTATCAATCAATATTAGGGTGTGGGTGTGGTGTTGACTTTTCTTTGTTCCTATGCACACCCCACACCCTGCTAAGAAGTTTCTAGTGTAGTAGCCTTTATCATGATTAAACGAACTAATTCTGTTCAGTTTCTTTTCTTTTCCTCCATCTATCTATATCTATATATGAATATATTATAGAAAGTTTATCACTTTGAAGATGAAGAATATATTGATTGAAAGGAAATATAAGTTACTTTAAATAAATCAATAGATAAACACATGTTCAAAGAACTTTTATACTATATATTTTGATTAATTACGAATATTACTTCATTACCTCCTTACAGCTCAAGACCTCTCAATGGAATTGGTACTTTCCGATTTTGAAACCAATAGCAAAGCATAATATTCAAAGAATAGAGTATGAGTAAAGTGTTCTTGAAAACATAAGGCTTTAGCAAATATTTCTTTTCTTAGTTAAAAACTATCCTGAAAATGCTTTTAAATTCCATAAAAACCAAAAAAGAACAAATAAATAATCAATGTCTATATCAGCTCTAGAAAAACGGGGAAATCGAGCGTATCTGAGGATACCTCTATAGAAAAGCAGATGTCACTTCTGGTCTTATTTTTCTTTTTGCTGGCTCTCGGTTAAAGATTGGATTAACAAAAACAGTCGTACAGGAAAGCCCATAACGAATAAAAAATTTCGGTATGGCAACTGCCATACTATGCCACCATGGTGGCCCGCCACTGACCAAGAACTGTTATTGAGCAGGGCAGGGCAGAAAAAAAGTGTCTTGTGACAGTCTCTGTTGCACATATATAAGATTATTTCAAATTTTATACGATAAATTTTTTTCAATACTCTATATCTTCAACTAAAGCCTTCAAAACAAATTTGTATCCGCATCTGACAAAATGTAAATGCAAAAAACACATTTAGATCAGATTTTTCTTGTATAGAGTGGATGAACTTTCAGATTATTCATCTATGTAAGAATTGCAGATTAAATGAGGTCATTTCGGCATTTAATGCAAAGATCTTCAAAGAACTCTGTGTGAAAAATGTTTGAAAAGAAAACAAATGTCGAATTTTAATTAGTTACAATGCAATACTGTATATCATCAATTAAATAACCAAACACCATATCTTTATGCGTAATATTTTATTTTAAAATTTCATAACAATAAACTGATAAAGTAGGTAAACAATAAAAAGTTTAATAAGAAAAAACTCATTTGCTTGTTTCGATTAGCAAAAGCCTAGAGTCTCTCTAACAGTCCATCAAGACTTATATGATTTTAATCAATTGGTAGCATTACTTCTGGATACAGAGAACAATAAAGAGAATCGACGAAAATAAAAAAAAATTTGGTCGATTATTAGGAATATTTACATCGAACCATCTAACGAGGTAATCGGATGATTCTATCTATATAACACTGTATCATGATGCTGAAGAATATAACGGGTGAGTCAGATTAAATGAACCTCTCAGTATTTTGGCTATAACTTTTTTTCTTTTTGGTCTTTAGAGCTAATTGTTTTTTCAAAAGATGCACCGTGAAATTCTTTGTAAAACCATAATCAAACTTATTTGTGCAGAAAGTTAAAGAAAAAAATTAAACGAAGATTATCCGACACATTAAAAGTACCCCACTTTCAAAGCTAACCGGTGTTTGTATCTTTTTTTTTTTGTCGTATAAGTTACATTGAAAACCTTATTTTATACATGCACTCTTTGTTTTCAAAATGGACAAAATTCTGTCCGACCAATTTTCGACGCTGCGAACAAGATCAGTTTTTGCTACACTACGAATTCATTTTTTCTTATTTCATCTTTTTATCGCCTAATATGTTGTATTAAAAGAAAAGAAAATATACTACAAGATGGAGCGTGAAAAGCTCTACAATCTACAACGAACAGTTTATTTTATATATATGCATCTTTTGTTTTTATAATAAGCAAAGCTCTGTGCGACCAAAAGTGATCTTGTTCGTAGCGTCGAAAATTGGTTGGACAGAATTTTGTCCATTTTGAAAACAAAGAGTGCATGCATAAAATAAAGTTTTCAATGTAACTTATAGAACTTTTTACGCTCCGTCTTATGGTTCACTTTGTTTTTAAAATAGACGTACTTAACGATAAAAAAAAGAGATACAAACACCGGTTAGCTTTGAAAGTGGGGTACTTTTAATGTGTCGAATAATGTTCGTTTTATTTTTTTCTTTAACTTTCTACACAAATAAGTTTGATTATGATTTTACAGAGAATTTCACGGCGCATCTTTTGAAAAAGCAATTAGCTCTAACGATCAAAAAGAAAAAAAGTTATAGTCAAAATACTGAGAGGTCCATTTTACCTGGCGCACCCGTTATTTGGTGCTTATTATGATTCATTGGTTATATATTCACTTAAGCTATGTACTCAGTAATCGGATTGAAATCGATAAAATGTATGAAGATGTCGCGTGTAGAACGAAATACAAAGAATAAAGATTGTATTTTGAACTATTTTAATGAATTATTCAACAATTAAATTTTCTCTAAAAAAAGTGACGCTAAATTTATTGATGTATAGCTCATTAATAGTTTATGAGGAATATTAAAAGAAAAGGTACGAAGAAAATTATTCTCAAGCTTTAGAAAAACTAACTAAAAACCACATTGAATAAAAGAATGAAAGAAAAAAAATCAATTTTCATAATTGATAATTTCTAAGAAATCTGATGAATTACAAAAATAAGTGATGGACAAGAAATATCTGATTGTTAAATAAGATTCATTGAGTAATTATATTAATATAAGAATGTTTTTTATTTTATTTTAATAAAATATTGTGTTGACCGATTGCGCACAATTTATCATCACATTCTCATGTTTATATTTTTATCATTGCTAGAGAAGATACTATCCAATAATATGTCATTTGAATGATTGACATGAGTACTCAAGAGTCATCTAAAAACATTTGTTTAGAGCTTATTCTTTATCTGCATATAAAATAATTTTGTTTCATCTCAAGATTTATGGAAACATCAAGTTTCTTAGAAA